CCGTTTGCTCGGCCTCCCCTGGGAGAAGGGCATGGAAGAATCCGCCGTCTCTCGCATTGTTTAATATTTATGACACTTGATGAAAGTCACTCGATTAAGACGATTGATTCGCTTGTTTGTGGTTTTTATTAGCCTATGGTAAAATTCTTTATGATCTTTTTAATAACTTTTCTTTTATGAAAGAGATACACATAGCTCACTAGAGGCCGCCCGCGACTTCGTACGCGTGGATGGATCTCGTATTCCCGTTTTACACCCTTAGAGGTTGAATTTTGCAAAATTCCGTCTTAGTGAGAACCTACGTTCTAAAAGGAACCCCCATGCAAAATTTGAGACTCCTAGCACTTACAGTTTCTGAGATTTCGCGATGAGTGAGTGAGTGACCTTTCGCTTTTATAGATATAGCTCAAGCTCATGACATACACGTAGCTCAGAACTGCCATAAAAATGGATGGGAAGTTATGATTTTGTATGTTCGTAATATTTTCTTTGATTTTCGTAACTTTTGACAATAAAATTGTCATTCTTATAAAGCTGTTTTCTGACACATTCACTGGCTTATACATATGAATAACAACAATACTTTAATACAATACAGCGCATATTAATCCCCGAAGGGTGTTTCGAGTCCGGCGTGACGGCGTAATCCGGCGCGCTCACACGGAATGCGCGATGAGGCGGCGGCGGCGGCGTAAGCCCGCCTTTTGCGGCGATTAGCGCTGCATTAACGTAATTAGCTGGATGAGCGGTTTTTGATCGTTTTTGTATAGAATAGAATAGAATAGAATGTATTTTTATTTGTAACACAATTATGATTAAGCTACAGCTGAAAGTAGCTTGTTTTGTAATAAACAATCACTATTTTTCACTCCTCAGCAACTTATACATAGAATTACGGTATGTGAACAACAAGATTAGCCAATAAAAAAACCGGCTCCAAAAAAGTGCACTAAAAAGTAGAAAAATAAAAACGTTATTTATTTATTAGGACAAATATTATTACCACGATTGAACATTTTCTTCCTGCGATGTTCCCACTTTATAATAAAAAGCCTCTGTCTAAATATGCGATGGTTAAAAAAATTAAAACAATTTGTTATTGTAGATACAACTAACGTTAAATAAATAAATAGCTCACGGAAAGAGTGTTACTCTTTCTCATCTGTGAGCTATAATAAAATGAAATGTTTAATAAGCAATAAGTAGTTTAATTATTGGGAGAGGCCTACGTTTAGCAGTGGACGTCTTTTAGCCAAAATAATGACGATGATGAAGTAGTTTCTGAAAAAAAAAACCTGTGTGAGATGGACAGACAGGTGAAAACGTAGGAGGAATCCTCATGAAATATCCCAAAATCATTATCAGTATAAAATAACCACTACTTGTACTCCAGAGCCCTATCCCAGCAAACGACCTCACAAAGACAGGAATAAACACAGTGTTTGTGTACAAATCCCGGTGTGCAGCGGACCGCGACAGTTTAACGAGCGCTGTAACGTGTGATAGGCTGCCCGCACACTGCAGCTAGCGGAGCGGAGAGCCTCCGCTTGGAAGTTTTGTTATCGAATGAAACTTTGTACGTAACAAAGGGACACAATAAACACAGATTGTTCGGTTTAAAATCCTGGATGGTGTGCTGTCGAGTGCGACAATTTAACGAGGGCATAGAGCGGTCTAGTTGCATTTTTAGAGCAAGCGAAACTGAGAAAATAAAAATGGTGCCCTACAATCAATTACAAATGTGTTATTGATAGACTTTGTTAGTTTTTAACTAGTCTTAAGACATTGTTTGTATCCTAGAGTAGGGAGATTTGTACGTTATTAAAATAATCAGCTGCATTGAGTTAAAATTATGCGTCTGTATCAAATTGGCACACGTGCGCCATCATCAGTAACCATCTATTGTTCATTCTATTTATTTAAAACTTACATGCACATAAAAGTACATGAGGCGAACTTAATGCCATCTATCCAGGTACATAACCAATAACCATGTATCTAAGTAAATTTCTCTAGCAAACAAGGTATCCGCTCCATCTCTCCGCTCGCTCTAGTGGACAGGCAGCCTAACGAGCGAGTGTTTACTCAGGACGCGACAGAACATGGATGACAAATATCGCGATATTAAATGCCGGTATATCGGAGCTTTATTTGAATAACGTCAATTCCATTGCCGAGTGATTGGAGATTTTATTCACTGAACTGAATTTTTAACTTCATTTTTTGCAAAAGTTCAGTCCACTGACAAAGAAAGAATCAAGTTGGTCAGTTCAACAGACTTAAAAGGGAACAAATTCCACCACGAAAATTAAAGGTGATGACAGATTGAAAAATATGTATTCCATCAGATGAGACGCAGGCCAAGAGCCTCCTCTAGCCTCTGTATTACGAAATAATGAAAATAGCGTAATTTTTTATTTGTACGTGTGCAACTGCTAGTTCATATTATTATAATCAACATATTTTATGTCACTTCCAAAACTGACTATTACGTACCTATAATTTTTGACCGCTTTGATTTAGAAAACTTGTAAGCAGAGCTATCAAGCATTTATCTGTACACGACTTGTGTATTTTGCTCTCTAATGTGCCCTGATTGTGACCGTTATAATAAAAAAAAACATTCTATTCTACCATAAAGGGCTAGTTTTCAATAATTCCAAAGAGCTCCTTGTAAGATTTCGTCCGCAATTAGTCACAAGACCGTACCACTGCAGTGCCAACAGCGCGATTTGCACAGCGCCCGCGGGACCCTAAGTGAATGAGTGTTTGCGAGACGACCCGAAGGTTGTCAGCCTGCATAATTTAAGGTTTTTGAGTCTCTGAACCATTGTCGTGGTTTACGTAATTGAGGGTAGCGAGTAGATAATACCTATCATATTTTTTTAATAGAAAAAAGCTTGTTTGATTTCATTTTAATTAGTTATCGATCTATTGTTAATCCAACATGAACTGATAATGAAAGTAATAAAAAGCTTGTAATAAAATTGTACAAAACTAAGAATTTTAGCGCGTTATTTATGTAATTGGAAAGTATCACGTTTTAATACATAGGAAATTTCAAATTCATAGGAAATTATTAATTCAATTTTATTAATAAACCAATAAGTTAATATCAGATTAATGGGAAAATACCGCAAAATATTGCCATTTTAATAATTACATTGGCAAAATTACTCAATTTAAATACGACAATACACTGAATTGATAGACAGATACAAAAAACCTATTGTTTCAGAATACGCAAATAAAGCACATTCAATTAATCCGTTGCAACCGTAATACTTTCCGCGCAACAAACGCGAGCTCCTGTCGAAAATTACGCGGCAATCACACCTATCGGCCGCACTTCTCTTGCGGATATAAAGGCGGGCGGGCGCTCTGCGCTCCACAGTCCACCGTGGACCCGCGCGCGAGTATGTTGTCTCTGTACCGCGCGTGGCTGGGCCCGGGGCCCTGCGTGGCGCGCCCTGCGCCCCCTCCCGGGGCCCACCGTCCCGTACCAAGGCGGGCCCGGCCTACAACACCCCCGCCGGAGTCCCCACCGCCTCCATCGCCAGGATCTACCACCTCCAGCGAGTTGGACGTCGAACACGTTGAGGAACCACCTCGTCCTGCTTCTAACACTGTATTGGATATCGCTTCCTGCGACGGGCCGGTGCGTTTCAGTCGAGTGCTCAACGTTGCTTGGCGAGAAAAGAGTACGCCGGAACGCGGCTGGCCCTGCCGCCATCGTAAGACCCAGAAGCCGACCCTGCACTACTACCCTTGCAAGACCTGTGGCTCGAAGTTTCCTTCCTACTACTTCGTGCATAAGCATCGCAAGCGCTGCCACGCGGAGGAGCCCGACGAGCCAGCACCTTCGACATCCAAAGCGTGAAGAGACAGTGGTTTTTGAAACATATCAGTGCGGTCAACGGACGAGCTTGTAGAATAACGGAGTTAACGACGGATTAGATTTTTCCAATTCAAAATTTAATTATCATTATTTGATTTTGATTTGAGGATGAACGGATAAAATCGCGTTCGTGATCAAGCGATTGGTGTAGGTTATGGACATTTAGTGAGTTTGATTGTAATGTTATTGTAATAAATGTTTATGAATTTAGTTGGTGTTTAATTTAATAACTTGTTGACGCAGTGATTGTTGGTTTGATGGATCTATAAAGGTAGTGTGTTAATTTTAACCTTGCGAGATCATAGTCGACGAAATTTTTAAATGATTTATTTGTGTAAGGTGACAACGAAGAGTTCAATAAGTGAAATGTTTGCTGATAATAATGTTAATTTGTTTGTCTAAAAAAAAATAAGACTTCTCCTGATCATTTCCCATATTATTACGAGGTTTTGATTACAATATTATTATGCACTAAATTAAGAATCGCGAATAAGCAAACAAGTTTTTATATGGGTTCAAATATTATCATGATTACAACCTGTTATAATACCTCGAAAAAGTATAATAATTACTTTTCATTTCGAGTATTGGTTATTTGATTCATTCGCATTTCATAAATATGAAAATGATTATGAAACCTAAATATATTTTAAACTAGCTTTCCGCCCGCGGCTTCGCCCGCGTGGAATTTTGTCTGTCACAGAAAAACTTTATCGCGCGCGTCCCTGTTTCAAAAACCGGGATAAAAACTATCCTATGTTCTTTCCCGGGACTCAAACTATCTCTATGCCAAATTTCATCAAAATCGGTTGCGAGGTTTAAGCGGGAAAGCGTAACAGACAGACAGACAGACAGACAGACAGACAGACAGAGTTACTTTCGCATTTATAATATTAGTTGGGATGATTGAGGCATATAAAAATGGCAAAAAGTAAGAATTTGCGACAAACAAAAATTTTAGTAGATACAATAATGTGTAACACGATTCTAAATCTGACTGCGGACCCATAGGATGGTCAAAAAGTAACTTCCTTGATGCACCATAACTTCTGCGGTAACTACGCAGTCAAAATCTCCTGAAATAGTATCAAATTCCACCAACCTGTTTCCGGCGTCGGCGGCGGTTGCGTCGGCGTCGGCGGCGGCTGCGGCGTGGGCGGCGCGCTTCCCGGCGGCGGCGTGGGGATGGACGACACCGCCGCCGCCGACAGCGAGACGGGCGCCGGCGATGATGCTGCGGGAGCGACCGTTGCGGGCGCCAGGCTGGTCGCTGGCAGCGGGGAGGGCACGCTGGTGGGTGATGATGATGTCTGTTGGAGAAACGAGCTGTTATTGACGTGCTACCCACTAAATCTAGGCTTTGTTTGCCACCAGTCATCCGCTTTGTACTGGAGGAAATGGAACTTTAACTTCGAACTCTTCCTTTGTTCTTCTGATTAATCTCGTTGCGGGTCCAATGACAGTTTAACTTTACCCCGGGACAAACTTGACCTTCACTGATTGGGTTTTTATTAACGGTCAAGCTGTATGACGGAAAAACCATCCAGTGGGTAAAATACCATAAAAATAGTTCCGAAATCACTTTGATCCTGCGTTTTTTGTATACATATAGCTAAATTGCCATGAGATGTGAATTCTAAATCAAATCTGTTACGAACTTACGAATGGATTTTTTTAAGGTACAGTTCCTTTTTTATGTTATATGAGTACTTTCTTAAATTAATCATAAAAGCAGTATTAATTGAGTATTCTATTGACTGTCAGTCGCTCACCGTCACAACAGTCGTTGTCATCATCGCCTCACAAGTAGTCGGCGGCGGCATCGGCGGCAGCGGCGGTAGCGGCGTGTCCGGCGTGAGCTCCAGCGGCGGCGGCGTCGGCGGCGAGTCGGCGACCGACGGCGCGCCGCCGGGGGCTGACGACGCCGGCGGCGGGGATGGTATGAGAGGCGGCGTTCGGAGTTCCGTTCTGCGAAAGAAATTTGATGTTAGAAAATCATATAACTCTCCTTAGTTTGACTGAAAAAGACCGTTTCACGCAATAGATTTTGCGATCCGAACACTCGTTCTGTTCAACTGAACTGTATTGCAATCTGTATACCTTACTTTTGTTTAGTGCGACTTTGACATTTTGGTCGCGAGAAAACTTTACTTTGTTCTGTAAGCCATCTACCGCTGCATGTTTTAGTGGTTTGGTTAGACGACAGAGCTAATGTTTTAACTTTTAATTCTATCCAAAATGGAGCAAGAATTTTGCTTACGATAGCTTCTCTATCCTTTATAACTATGCCATCAACAACACTTCATGTTCATCCTCTTTTCAAATTCAAAATATCAACCCCCAAAAAGGCATCATACATTTTTCAAAGTTATAGTAAAGCTGTAAACTTTAAATCACAGTATCACCGCCATATTTCCGATCCCCTCGCCCTTCAACCCTCGCGAGCCGCGGTCTAATTAGCCCGTCGAGTCGCGTAATTATGTTTGCCCAAACGATCCGCCGATATGTATAATTGAACGATGAGCCGCGTTTTAGGGTTGAACGTGTTGGGGTGGGTCTTGGTTAAAAAGGAACACAGTTTGGCAGTTTATGATGTTTTAATGTTTTTGAAACAAAAATGTCCTGTCGGCTGATAAATGATACAATGGTTTTAGGACGAATTTTTATAGTTTCGTTAGATAATATTGCTAGAAATTTGACATCATGCTAATATAAAAAAATCTCGCGTCCCAGCAGTGTTTGTAACAAAATTCTTTGGAAACGTCTTATTTATTTATTTCGATGAGCGACATATAAGCTTACAGAAAAATCATAGCTTGACCTTTCTATCTTGACCGATTCTTTTGAAATTGTGTGTGTATATTCAGTAGGTCTGAGAATAGGACGAACTATTTTAATAGCCCTAAGTGTTACCTAAAGGTTTTCACGGGTACGAAGTCGCGATTTCTTCAGGTAAAAGATATCTGACAAATGATATTACATAATTTTCTCATTATGTATGTTTAAAAATACTTATCATTATGAAATCATTACGCTCAAAGCTAGGCAGTCCTGGTTCTGTCAATAGGCCGTATAGGCCACGGCCTAGGAGCGGCAGATTTCAGATGACGCTTACTCGATTTCAGAAGATAAAAGTTAAATAAAGATCCAACCCCACCCTAGCCTACGGGCGGCAAAACTGTAAATCCGCCACTGAAGCTAGGTAACTTTAAAATTATTTATCACAGCCTCATAAATAATTACAAGCGTTATTTACACCAATCGTAATTAATAACTCAAACAAATAAACATCGAATTTTCACCGCGGCAAAATCAAACCGCAAAATGTACCAAAAAAGCACCAAAAAGTTGCCAACGTTGTCTGTGGTACAGCCAACAGTAGGTACAGTCAGCATCATATAGTTCGTGACAAAAGTGACCAAAAATTTGACAACGCAACCGTATTGTAATTGTAACATAGACGTGTTGCGAACTTTTTGGCTACTTTGGGTGTCACTAACTATTTGACGCTGACTGTACATCAAGCTAATCTCTGTGACATCTTATGTAGTTGCTATAGGTGCGTTATTGCAACAAAAGATAATATTATCAAAATCAAAAACATTTTATTCAATTTTGACCACTGGTGGCACTTCAAATACAGCAAAAAAAAGTCATAGTCATAGTCATTTATTATTCCATAAACAATAACATTATCGTATTGGAGGCACTTTACATGGCCCCTTGTCTTTTGGGCCCTACCAGCGCTTCGAGACATAGTGCTAAGAAGAAACACCGGAACAAACTCACTTAACACTAGTTGCCAGATAGTCTGACGTGCTGTGGACTGTACAAAACCGTTATTTGCAGATCATTAAAATTTAGCCAATTAATACCCCAGCCAGGGGTAATTATACGCGGGGGGTGGGGGGATGCAAACACAATCGAATTAATCCAACTTGCGGATTAAGGGAGCTTACACATTGCGACTACCTTTTTCTTTTTTTTATTATTTTCTATTGACGTTCATAAGGGCTACCTTTTTCTTTTTTTTATTATTTTCTATTGACGTTCATAAGTGCCACTTGTGGTCTAAACTGAATAAATATTTTTGATTTTGATTTTGATTTTGACTTTTTTCAGCATTACACGCGCATTTTACAGTCGCGCCTGTCACGACTAGTCGTGCGATTGTATCGCGATTGTTGCTGCTTTTAGTAACCCACGTGTGAAGGTAGATGTTTTGCCACTGTATGGATGCTGCATCACGACTGAGGACTCATTCAGTTTTGCGGGGTCCAGTAAAACTGGACAGTCGTGAGAACACACACTTGTGCCTTTAAAATTCGAATTTCAAACGGATCGGTTTTTTGCGGGACACTACAAACGGGATGTTCGTGTGAACGTTAATATTAAAACACGTATACTAATAAACGGGATCCTGCAAAAAACGGGATGTCTCCATAGGAATACGCTCTGAATCGCGTTTGTATCGCTGTCAAAACTAGCAGTGTAAAAGGGCCCTAAGGCTTATGCAGTGATGGACGCAGCGTGTGATACAAAGCGTTTACAGCATAATAAATAATAAAACAAATATTCCCGATCAGCATATTCTGTTTGTATTTGTACCTGACTGTGGATGAAACATTGTCAATACGAATGATTTTATTGATGTTGACATGTAAAAGTTAAAACAAAAAACTGTTGATATTTAATAAGGCTTAACTTCCACAGTGAAACCTATATCAGGCCTGTGATCCGTGATCCGCGAGTTTACATCGAAAACAAAACACGCACGATGGCCCACCTACAGGATATTTATTTATTTATTATTATTATTTATTCGACAAGGCCTCACATACGAGCGAACATTGACTCACGCACGCGTATTCTTGTGTATGATGGAAGAAAATAAAGAAAATGGTGTACTAAATACTGTGCAGTATTTAACTGCCTAAATAATAATAAAAACACAGAATGTACTTTTTTAAGTTGCCTCAAGACACTGAGAGGTAAATAAGTAGTTAATATTATTCATGATAATTCATGCTGCATACATTTTTTTAAATACCTTCGCGAAGTAAAACTTCTGTACGTAGTACTTATTATTATTCTGTGCCTATATTAACAAGTACTAACAACATTCTAAGCACCTATCTAGCGCTTAATTCAGGTATATTTTATGCTCTGTCACGTCATAATATTTAATGTCAATATCATCCCTCCTGTGCCGCTCCCATGCCTCAGGCACTGACTGACTTAAAACTGACTTTGTAAGAATACTTCTACAAAAGTACTTCTGGGATAAACGGACATATTCTTCCGCACAGACTGACAAAATCAATATTTAAAAAAAAGTAACTAACTTTTTAACACTTGCATCCTTTAAAATCCACACAATAACATTCGCATTTAGCAACGTAACCATCCGAATATCTACAATCTACACCAGAGGTCGGTAATTAATTTTTCCGAAACCACCAATCAAGGCAATGCACAATTAACAAAACGAAAACCGAACGTTGGGTACACAAAAAAGGCGTTTTTTGGTCACATCCTAAACGGATAGGCCAATCCAGGCTCTCTAGTCAAAATCTAGTTCTCTACTCTATTATGAAATAATTCATTGAAATATAACCTTACACACTCACTTATATTTAATTTTCATAGTAAATAAAAAAAAAGTGCCCAACCACTGAAAGAAAAAAATCTGTTTTTTTGATTTCAGGTTACACCCAACCTCCCCTTGGCCCAAGTCAAGGAGGGCTTATGCCTGTTTTCACCATCAATTCCTAATTTTGAAGTGACCCCTTTGAAAACAAAATTCCTCTTAAGTGTTACCAGAGCTCTGGGACCCCTCTGCAGAGGGGTCACTTAAAAATTAAGGATTGATGGCGGAAACCGGCATTGGACACCTTGTACGTAAAATCAGTTTCAAGAGTAAGGTACAAAAACAATAAATCTTTAAAAAGAATGTTTCTTTTTTCAGGTGGTGAAAATATCGAATTGAGAAAATAAGTATAAAATTATTCGAGTTCTGCAAACCAGAATGGACTAGCTGTTCTCCCTTAGCCATGACTGTGCCGCCTCTGCGGGCATATTCCGCTTTCTCGATTGCCGGCTGCTTTTAATTAAGGCAATTAGAAAGATGGGCTCGCTGTTTGCGTAAAAATCTAAACAAGCCTTGTACGGTTATACTAGTGGCGGCCCGGTGTCGATAAACATCGGCTGTAGATTTATCGATAAACGCAAACACGACTCAGCCAAACGCTAATTGGCGCAATCGCAAAAACCTGCATCGCAAATATTGACTGCGCGATGTTTCTATCGTTTTTTTTTTTTGCTGTGATACGCAACAGTATCGGCGGTTGATGTTTTTATTGGTCCTTTGATACGTGGCAGGTTTAGATCGGGATAGATGCTAGTGGTTTTAACTTTGTTTTTATTTGGTCAGAATGTACAGTGTAATCGAGAAATATTACCTACAGCTGCGTTGATTTTTACACCCCAAGAAAGAACTTTTAAGATTTCCCTGAGCCTTCAATTAGCACCTAATTTAGGCATGAGCGACAAAGACATGAAAATACGTTACATAAAAAGTGACTTGAAAACTGCTAGGTGACAACTGGTGTACGTAGGGTAAGTGATATTGGTATAAGACGCGGACCGGTATCTCTTACAGAAAACCTTTTAAGAAAGGTGATTGGTGGTGTAACCTTATGGGAAACAATAAAACAATTCAATAGAATGACATTATTCAAATAATCAAGAATCCACGATAAGACAGTCCTACATCGACAAGCAACATATCGACACAGCCCCCTCCCTACCCCCGCGGGGGCATCTGCAAATAATCACGGGAGTGATTGTCAACACGCACGAATATAACGCGGGCATTATTCCCGTTTCCTTCGCAAAAACAAGCCCCCGTGGGGATGGGAAGCTCAAATCGAACGACGACAATCGAACAAATAAATTTATTTATTCCAGCAAATTACTTGGGACTTGTTTTTCTCATTATTCCGGGAAAATTCGGCTTATTTATAAGTCAAGATGGGGCAAAACATTTTCAAAAACATTAACTGTTACCTACCTGATAAAATACCTGTTTGTCTTGTTGTTATTTGAGACAGTCTCTAATTAGTAAGTTTATTTCTGACAACAGATTTTCAATTATTTCAATTTCCCAGTAACTCAATGAGCCTTTATACGATATTAGTAGAAGACGTGTGACATGGTGAAATCGAACCACATTTTTTTAAAGAATATTAGCAATATGTAAATACAAATCTATACTAATATTATAAAGCTGAAGAGTTTGTTTGTTTGTTTGTTTGTTTACTTGAACGCGTTAATCTCCGGAACTACTGGTCCGATTTGAACAATTCTTTCAGTGTTAGATAGCCCATTTATCGAGCAAGGCTATAGGCTATACAACATCACGCTACTATTAATAGGAGCAGAGCAATAATGAAAAATGTTGCGAAAACGGGTTTTCACGCGTACGAAGTCGCGGGCACAGCTAGTTACTAATAATCCCATTAACCCCTCGTGTTAAGCTAAAATGCTTGTGTTACGATTGGTGGAATATTTGACGATCCTTTTAAACAATGCTGGTATTAAGTACTCTACTACAATCTTGACCTAAAAACATCAATTCTATTTCCGCGTTTAAGTAGCCTCACCTTCATTCATATTTCAGCAAAAGAATTACAAAATTAAATTTAAAGATCAAAGCCTTACCAAGATGATATTAAATTGAAATGAACAATCGTAGATATAAGAAAAAGGTCCAAGACTGAGAGTTGCCGGGTTGGAAGCCAGGGGGTAGGGGGGTGTATAAAAATGTGAATTTTAAACGATTAATCTCGAGATGAAATATCGAGTTATCCGGGGTGTTCAAACACAGCCGGAAACTCCTCTCTGGGTGCTTTTTAAAAATAAAATTCTCCCGCACATGAAGATTGATTTTGGTAATGCTGTGTGCTTATCTGAATTTCATGGGAGATAAGTGCATTGAAATTGTTTCAGGATCAAATCAACCCTTTTCAGGCGACTACGTCTGTAAGGAACCGTCAAAAATATTGTTCCTGTACATTTCATACAGTTTATTCATCATCATCATCATCAACAGCCCTTTACAGTCCACTGCTGGACTATGAGCCTCCTCCACTATAGTGGAGGGATTTGCCATAATCTCCACGCTTGGCAGGCGGGTTGGAGATCGCAGTTTAAAAGATTGATGTTTTTCAGAGAGCGCTGCTGCCCGTTCTCTGTTTGATGTGTAGTCCCTAAGTCGCCTCTTACGACACCCGCGGGAAGAGTATGGGTTGGTGACAAATGTATTCTACTCTGCCGTTACCACACGGCGGACACACAGTACAGTTTATTATGGTTATTATATATACAGTTTATTATATTTAACACATGAATTGTTGATTATTCGCATAAATTAGTAATTAATTTATTGTTGCAATTCCATAAACAGGTTCATGTAATGGGTCTATGTTTATCAACTAAGAACTTTTGTAAATACATGAAGCAATAAAGAACATTTTGAATTTAACGCAAATATAGTCCCTTCCCTTTATATCAAGACGAATAATAATTACCTAATCAATAAGTTCATATTTTTTAAATTCGAAGGTAGGCCATTATTCTATGAGTAGGCTACAAAATACCAGCATGTCGCCTAAAGCGGATTATTCTCGAGCGCTTAAAAATTAACGTCTAAAGGCCAGAGCACACGCGCCGACCTCATCCATTTAAGGCGCATTACACACGGCGCGACTCCGACCCGCAAAAACTTCTTTAATAATTCAACAGAACAGAGAACGTTCTGTTGACACTATGTAATTAAAAAGCTCTCTCGGTCTCACGATATTGATACAGAGGAAATTATATGATATTTTTCCCGGTACCCGCTTTTTGTCGGGCTGTAGCGAATTTGTATTTGTACAGTATCGATTGAAGGCCGTGTGTGATGTTGGATTGTAAATACGAATATTTAGATGCGATCGGTTACTGTTTTTGTTGCTTACGATTTTACAGATCATGATTCTGATTAGACAAAAGTTTGAACATAATGATGTACCGACTAGAACTGGATGGGCGCTTTTTGACACTTTTTTATTGTTCAGATTCAGATTTTTTAAAATGTATTTTTAAATAATTAGAAGAATATGCTGTAAAAGCTATACATATTAGGACGTGTAATTGCTCTGAAAAGCACAGAATTCATCGTACTCATACAGAATTTGATCTTTTTTATTATTTTGTCTACCTATTTACACTTTCAACATTATTTTTGGTAAATTGTATGTATTCGCTTTAATAAACAAAATTCATCAGCTCTAAAAATTCTGCTTAATGTTTACTAATATTATAAATGCGAAGTAACTCTGTCTGTCTGTCTGTCTCTCTTTCACGCCTAAACCACTAAACCGATTTTGATGAAATTTGGCATAGAGATAGTTTGAGTCCCGGGAAAGGACATAGGGTAGTTTTTATCCCGATTTTTGAAACAGGGATGCGCGCGATAAAGTTTTTCTGTGACAGACAAAATTCCAAGCGGTCGAAGCCGCGGGCGGAAAGCTAGTTTTATAATAATCTGAGAATGTTTCAAGATACTGTGGCTAAAAATGCACATGATAGAGTCGACGGTACATCAGACTATACATTTTTGTAGCAAAATAGGCCATACCACAAAGATATCAGATGCCACAGTGTGCTCGAAGTGCTGTCGTCTGTACACACATGGAACGTCTTCACTAGCGAGTACTTCAAAAAAATCTATTTAGATTTTAGTTGTTAAAAGTAGCCGCTAGGGGCGCTGTACAATCTTCATACATTTAACGTCATTTTTACGCGCTAACTAGTGACGTTTCGTTTGATGTGAACTCACACTAAGCTCTCGTAATAGTTAGCACGTACCTTGCGGGCTGCGGCGCCGCCGTGGGCAGGATGCAGGAGACTCCAGAAGCCAGCCCCGTCTCGTCCAAGCTCGGCTCCTTGTTATCCACCGACCGCGCCGTCGCTCCTGGGGGACAAATACAGAACTTAGTACTCATCATCATCATCAGGGCAATTAGACTCCACTGCAGGCACGATCCTCCTTTTACCAGAGGCAATGGAGGATTTGGTCTACACCGCGCCGTCGCTTTGCGTTATTGACATGCGTCATTTGACATATTGCAACTCTGACGTTTTGTGAATCTGACGGAGCCCTAACTAACTAAGGCCCGATTCCCACAACGCCGGATTGGAAATCTGCCGGACCGGTAAAAGCCCGGAAGTGCTAGTGGCTGTACAATTTATATGAAGCTATTCACATTACCCCGGATCCGGCATTTTTGCCGAGCGTTTTGTCACTGCGAAGTTAAAGTAGAACCACCGGACCGGAGCAGAGTTTGTCCGGCATCGGTCCAAGTGCTTCCCTCGCGTCCTTCGGCTCGCATTTTTTGATAAAAGTAGACTTGTTTACTGTCCTATTTTCTTGCGGGATCCGGTGTAATGTAAACAACTGTCCGGCGTCCGGTGTCCGGCAAATCTGCTGCACCGGCATAGTGGGGGGACGAGGCCTAAGAGCGCTTGTAGACGTCCGTTTTTTTGACCGGACAACGGCCCGATTTTTTCACCGGATTTAGCGGTGGTGTATGGTTTATAATGAACGTGTGCACATGCATCGGACATAGGTCCGGCGAGAAAATTGACAGCAAACAAAGGATATCCGTTTTTTGACGGTCCGTCGTCCGGTGAAAAAACGGACGCCTACAAGCGCTCTAAGGATGCTCCTGCTTACCTTGCGACCTCTGGAGGCGCGTGGTGACTCCGGCGGGCAGGTCGGGCTCCGGCGCCGGCCGCGGCGGATTGCGCGCGGAGCGGCGCTGGCGCGGTTTCCGCAACAACTGCTTGTAATTCTCAGCCTTCTTCGATAGGTAATAGAATCTAAAACAGAATGCAACTGTTAACACCTGCACTGTACGATCGTACATCCTGCTGCACCGTCAGCATCCTCACTAGGGAGTTAGTTCCCTTCCTGACCTCATATCCCGGGTACGGGAGCGGTGCCTTACAATCACTGCCTCCCGCCCGTACATGCACAGTCTTCAAATTTCAATCAACTTTATACTATCTATTTGAATTGTAATGGAACGCGAAAGATTACCTATAGGTAACTTTATCATAAATATTTACACCCGAAAAATCCGGCTCGAAGGACCAAGTTGACGCGTCCAAATCTAACACATTAATAAGCATTAAATGGTGAAAGCTTGATTGCTTGGCAAAATGGTTATAACCATTACACACGACGAAGGTAAACGAACGTGAACTGACTTAGATATTACAATTTGCAAAATTATTTCAAAGGTTTTCAATTCAAATTAGAAAGTTTTGATTTATGTCTGTTTTTCAATTCAAATTAGAACTTTGTTGATTGGCGAAGTGAATTTACTGTAAGTACTTCGTACAAAATTAGAATAAATCCCTAGTTCTCACCTAACACAATCCCTGACACTCTTCCGGGGCAGAAAGGAGGCAATCTGGCCGAAGTTCTTGGGGTGCTGAAGGTATTTCTCGCGGAACACCTCCCGCTCTGATTGCGACCACACGTTGCGAAGTTGCAACTCCTTGTGCTCCGACTCCATGTCCATACACCGGCCTGGGGAAGGATGGAATATTAGTATCTAGACGTTTAAGATGGTATTTGGCACTATAACACTTTGGGGGAGAAAATAGCAGTTTAGTATTTTGATTTTTAGATAAAGTACGGCCAACTAGCAGCGATACAAAAGGTCGATACGACTGTCGAGTTGACAATATATTCTGTCTCTTGATGAAATAGTAAAGTTGCAGCATAAAAATAATAATAAGGAAAGAAAGCAGCAGGATACAAGATATGCATGTATAAAACAAACAAAAGTTTTACACAATGCTCTCTCTCTGCTCCTGAACCGATTTTTCGATGGTAAACACGTGTATAAATATTTGTATCATAAAAAGAATCGGAAAAGAGATACATATTGTCAAAAAAGCGCAATTAGACGCCATTTTTCCAATATAACGGCGCTTCGGTAAAGATAGTAACAAAGTTGTGATTCGGAAAAAGTAAAATTCCCGGAAAACTTTCCAGGTAAATCCTCCAAATGACTGGACCAAAAGCTCCATCTGGATATAAAAGCTAGGACTAAACGCGTAGTGATCTGAAAGGGAGGTCCCTTTTTTCAGGATCAAAACCTTAATGGTTCTCACGGTAGAAACTAGCGCCGCCACTCGGAATAATATACGACTTTCTCGCACCCCATTTACCAAGGACGCTCAATGCCATCTATCTTTGGATGCTGAAAACTCGATATTCCAAGTAATATGCTGGCTCTGGTACCTTTACAGTTGATACAAAGTACTAACCGAAAATGTATGATGGCGCTAGTTACGAGATTTTAAATAACCAGCGGCCGCCCGCGACTTCGTACGCGTGGATCCCATTTTACTCCCTTAGGGGTGGAGTTTCGTAAAATCCTTTCTTAGCGGATGCCTACGTCATAACATCTACCTGCATGCCAAATTTCAACCCGATCCGTCCCAGTGGTTTGGGCTGTGCGTTGATAGATCACTATGTCAGTCAGTCAATCACCTTTGAGTTACATATATTTAGATAATGAAAGCTCGTAATCCACTCAATGGTGATTTCGCCATCTATAAGCCAAAGTTACCAGTTGTTGGGTAGAAAGATACAAAAGATAACAACAATGTTAACAGCATTGCTGTGTTACAGCAGAGGCAAGATAGCCTCTGTGAGGCTCTGTGGTGTGGTTGCGGATTCCGGGTGAAACTCGCTTCCACCTTCGGCATAGTCATCTTAATGCAGGCTAGGAATATTCCCGTCGCGTTAGGGTAAAATGGTGATAAACGCTTTTTCAATTTGTTCCCAGAAAAACATCATATAGCAAGTCTCATTTATTATGGACAGCATTAAATTTGTTACGAACGACCGAGGCCAGCGATCATCTCCATACAATAGACGTGTCTCTCATCTCAATGATTGCGTGTCTGAAAGTATTCCACATAAATAACGTCGGCACAAACACAAACAAGTGACCGATGACGTCACACTATCAGCTGTTCATCGCGGTCAATGACACTGTTCGACTTAATATCATTCTGAAAGCGGTAGGGTGTGTTTCAAGTATTACTAAGGCGCAAGAATGCATAAAATATCCAAATGCACACGGTTAAATACCAACTTTTTTTACCCTAAGTTTGTGCCTAAGTCAAGATTATAAGGCAAACTGGCCGTATAGAGCAGTCCTATTAGCAATATTTAATTAAAACACGTGTACGTCATCTTCTACAATTTTATAATTACCGCACCATACAAGGGTGAGCAACTTCCACAGATTCCTTCATTTAGGCACGCTAGAAAGATAAATTAATTCTTGTTAAGTATAAACTGACTGATAAAATGGGTCATAAAACATAATGTATAGGTAATTAGGTATACCACACCAAAGCCAAGGTTGATTTCAGTAGAAGTGAGCAACCCATCTTTATGTCGACGATCGATTTGAGATCACAAGAGTTCAATACTTTTCGAAGGACGTCTACGACAACGTAAATAAACGTGACCTATTTATGTGACGTCACATCAGCTGTATGTCGCGGTCAATAACCCCGACTGCACTTTCCAGATGTACTGAGGTTGGCGATCTTTCCTATACATATGTAACAAGGAAGGATACTTTTTACGTGGTCTTTTTGTAGAGATGAAACGGATAATTGTTTGGCCGGAGACCGGATACCGGATATCCGGCCAGCTGCTAGGCCGGATAGCCGGATATCCGGCGGCCGGATAGTTGGCCCATTGTCTCGTTGCATGTCGTGACGAGTTTAGCGCCGCACAGGTGCTTCGAACGCGATCAGTGGGTCTATTAGTAGACTAGACTAGTCACACTTTTTGAAAATCGAATCTGTCCGAATAGAATGTCAGATTTTGCCACTTTTGCAATCTTGAGTGTCTGATTGAATAACGAAAATTTAATTAGTTGTATCATCAGTGAAAAACAAATCGCTTATTTTATTTGGCGATATTTCAACATTAACAGATATTTACTATTTATCTATTAGTCATTAGAGTGAATAGCCCAGAAAAAGAAATTAGCTTTGAAAGGCCTTATGGCTTTTTTGTAACTTTTTGAACTTTAAATAAAAGCCGTAATTATTGTAAGCCATTTTATTGATATTTACCTCAAAGATTAATGTATTTAATTTTATTAATAGGAAATAGTCGTAATTTTTTAATATCCGGTATCCGGCCGGATAGTGAGTTAATATCCGGTATCCGGCCGGATAGTAAATTTAGGCCAGATATCCGGCCTACCGGATAGTTACCGGATATCCGTTTCATCTCTAGAAAGATCATCACAAGCCTTGGGAATATCCCTATGTATGGCACCACAACTACGTAAATGTCCAGTAGACAATGGGTGACAAATGACGAAAATAGAAATCGTAAACAAAATGTCGATCGCTAAGCGGTAAGTGCTATCACTGCTATAGATGACTCACGCTGAACTGTCCCACCAAACTCAATGACAGGGGGGCGCTACCATCGTTCAACTATATGGTTTCCAACATGGCAAAAATCGGAACCAGCGATCCGGTATTGACGGTGGCACCCCGCTGTCAATGTCATGGATGGATAGGACAGTTCAGCAGTATATTGGAACTTTAAAAAGATGTATGAAAAACGTCACTAATGGAAGTTGTCACAAGCAAAGCAAACGTGTCCTCGCCGAAAACAGCCGAAAGTTTTCAGCAGTTGCCATAGCAATCGCCATTTTGCTTACAATTTCTATTTTTGGCCAAACATATCCAATGTCGCACATTTTGCGTCACATAAGCTTAGCATTTGGCGCAACTTTATGGCGTCATGTTGGAGGATATTTTGCACCCTAAACTATCAGGGATCAACTTTGCCACCGTCTTCACACTACGACAACAGAAACACGTGACCGTGACGTCACTGCATCAGCTGTTCGCGGTCGACGACCCCTTACACTACGCTGTCGGGAATCGAGTGGGATTCCCGCGCCCGTCTCGTCTATGACCTTAGCGACGCGTGGGCGATATTGAAGTCTGCATAGTACTATAAAAATAGTAATCATTCTCGTGAAATACAGACGAGCCATGCCATTAGGGCTGTCACGTATGATTTTATGATAATATTTACTGCCTCTTTCCAAAGTTGCTGTGCCTTAACTGGGTCCATATTGCAACTGCCTAAATAGGCTAGTTGNTAACCTTGCGAGATTATAGTCGACGAAATTTTTAAATGATTTATTTGTGTAAGGTGACAACGAAGAGTTCAATAAGTGAAATGTTTGCTGATAATAATATTAATTTGTTTGTTTAAAAAAAATAAGACTTCTCCTGATCATTTCCCATATTATTACGAAGTTTTGATTACAATATGCACTAAATTTACAATCGCGAATGAGCAAGCAAGTTTTATATGGGTTCGAAGACTATCCTGATACCTGAACCTGTTAATATAACTCGAAAAAGGTTATTTTTAATATTGGTTGATTGATTGTTTATATCATAGCTGGGCATTAACTCGTTAATCCGTTAATCGTTAATTAACGAAGTTAACATTTCTATTAACGGATTAACTTTTAAGTTAACTTTAAAAAATGTTAACGGACTCGTTAACTTCCGTTAAATTATCCTAAGTCCGTTAATCGTTAATCCAGTACCTACTATTTACCAAAAAGATACAGCAGGCACGCTGAAAAACACTAGAATAAAAATTAGCCAAGTGCGTGTCGTGCCACGCGCAGTGTAGGGTTCCGTAGTTGTCCGTCATTAACACAATATATTTCAGAAGCAAGCAATTACTTCATCTAAAGTCACTTTTAATATTTTCTTCTAAGGAATTTTCACTAGTTAAGGAATTTTATAATACATGAGTTAAATGACTATTACTCTTAATCTCACTGATGTATCTTAACCGCTACAGTTTTCCTTGAAAGTTCATGAAAAGCAGTATCTTTACGAATTTTACTAGATTTTTAAAGCCAACAGTTTAGTTTGGGTTTGTTAGTATGTGTGGGACAAATCTTGCAACTGATTTTAAGACCAGTTCTCAACCGATAGAGCTGAATTTTGGTACACTTATGTAAGTACGATGAAAATGCAATGTTATGGTACCATTAAGCTGGTCTGATGATGGAGTCAGGAGGTGGGCATAGGAACTCCTAAATGAAACAGCGGCATCGCATCGAATTTGGGTTCGTTGGATTTGTCTTTTCGAGCACTTTGGTGCTAAATTGTATTGTAATTAAACCAAGGCTCTGAGATTGAGATACTATAGACTAAGAGCTGGTGAAGGCCAGACCTACGTCATTTTATAAAAGCTGAAAATTTGTCAGCGTATGCTCCCAATACAGGTTAGAATGTTGGTGGATTATGAAGTTTGGGTCATCGTTGCTTTGGCACCTATCCTAAAAAAACTGTCTGGCAAGGAGTTGGAACTGTCAAAACTGTGCGGCTGATGAACTTCTAATCATTGCCCAAATATTATACATAAAAATCAGAATTTATGGTACCTATAACGTAAGAAGAATTACAGTCTATTGAATATGTTACGGTTAAAGTGATAAATGTGAAAATTATGAATAATCGCCGGTTATTATGAATAATTACCACATGATTTGGTAAATGTGATTAATATGAGATCATTTATGTGTGTATAAAATTAAATAGGCGGCTAGGGCCACCCCCGCCGCACTTTAACCTATTTTTCACTTTAAATCAAAACAATGTGTTATAGGCATTATGGTAAAGTAATGTTACGCAAGAAACAGTCCAAACTCATTTTGCCAAATTATATTAAAATATGATNTGGAGGCCACGTACCGGAAAACGCAGCGTGAGACGTCCACCCACAAGGTGGACCGACGACCTGATAAAGGTAGCGGGAAGGCGCTGGATGCAGGCCGCTACCAACCGTGCGATGTGGAAGTCATTGGGGGAGGCCTATGTTCAGCAGTAGACGTCCTGTGGCTGAAATGATGATGATGATGATACTCTTAAACTAACTGATGTATCTTAACCGTTATAGTTTTCTTTGAAAGTTCATGAAAAGCAGTATTATTACGTTTTTTCAGATTTTTCAAGCCAACAGTTTAGTTTTTAAAGAAAGAAAGATACATTTATTACAATGTATTTTTAGAGGAAAGATACATTTATTTTTAGAGGGGGGGACGCCCTACTCGAACAAAAATTGGCACTTTAAACTTTAATAATTTGCAAACAGATCCCTAAATG